TTACACATTCAAATAAGCAAACATCCACAAACGCACACATACCTCTGAGTATAACCATGCTAATGGAGGAGGGCCACGCAGCCTGCATGAAGTCCAGCAGCAGAGGGCTCATTAGGTGTCGCACTGGCTCCAGCTGCTTGATGGAGGAGATCCACATGGACATGGGTCTGTCCTGCGCCTGCTTCTTCACCCTGATGTCAAACACAACAATTAGAGAATAATGAGAGTGGAACAATTAATGAATGCAGATAAGGGCATGTTCATGGAAACAGAAACTCACTTGTAAGCTTTAACAACTGCGTCAGGCCTGTTGCAAGCTGCCACCAGGACATAGACGGTGTCAGTAGGCATTCCACATATGCCGCCGTTTTTCATGATTTCTGCAGAAGAGAAGACAAAAATCTCACATCACATACATAAACAAATGTTTATTTTAGAAATCATCATTGTTGTCTTTTATATCTCACCTGCAATCTGCTGGACAGATGTGGCCTTTCGGGCTGGTACATGTGGACAGACATTGGCGCCTCCCCCAACACCTCTCAGCTTGAGGAAAGGTTTCCCAAAGGGGATCTGGGGGGACTGGAAGGTGCTGTTGAAAAGGTGGCCCAGGAAACAATAGAAACTGACGAGACCAAAGATGATGGTGACTCCTATGTCATAACCAAAAGGCAGAGCACCCACTGCATCCAGCAGGAAGCTAATGAGGATGAGCTGGAAGGTGAAGGAGTAGACAAACCAGGCGATATTTAGAAAGAGCGCCGCAGCTGTCACTAAAATGTTAAACAGCATGAAGGTAATGATCCCGACAGAAACATTGAAGCCTCTGGTTTCACCGTACAGGCCGCCGTATCGTGTCAACCCCCACACTGTCCACATCATGCCATAGACCATAAAAACTGCACTCTCAAAGGTTTTACCCCGAGCGAATGCAACTGAGCCACAGAGCAGCTGGAGCGCCCCACCAGCCACCACAACCCAGGGCAGAACCAGCACATAAAGAGGATTTCTGTCACCAATTGTGGCTGTGACAGCAAAAGCAGCCAATACATTGCAAGCGTGGCCTAACACCTCAGCATCTGCATATTTGGAGTAACCCAGGTGAGGTGTATGCAGTTCTTTATCATGTGCTCTGAGGGTAAATCTCTGCATCCTGGTTACTAAAGCCTTGAAATAGCCCTGCCCTGTGGGAATCATGGTACTGGAGACCATATTGAAAGTGGTAATTAAAAGCATGCAGGCAGAGACCACAAATATAGCTGCCTGTACACCCTGAGTGCCTCCTTGGAAGAAGCCTTGCGGCTGGGCTGCAATGGCAATACAATAGGCAACAAAGAATAATTGGTAGAGTCCCTCCAGCAAGCTTTTCTGACAACTGAACAGAGCCAAGACGAAGAACAGCACAGAAAAGACGACAGGGAAGGGAACAGGGGAGAAAGGCTGGATTGAGTAGAACGATAAGAGAGCGCTGTAACCTTCTGCAAATCTCAACAGAGCAGTGAAGCCATAAAACGTGGCAACTAGTGTGTCCATGGCTCGATAAAAGAGGACACACATGCCGAGCTGGTAGACTCCAGCTGTCCACAGCCAGGGGACATGACCAGTGAAGAGCCGGGGGACCACACCTAACAGAGGACAGGCTAACACAGAGGCAGACAGCAAGTTCATCACCAAACCCACTGACACAGCATCGCTACACCCCTGGTTCTGCTCTGTTTTCAGCTCAGCTTTTCTCTTCAGGCCTGTTCCTGGAGGTTCCACTTTGCCATGAGTGATGATGGACAGCAGACGCCCAACACCAAAGTAAACACCAACCAGACAGACGACAAGGTAGTTAGCAGCTGTGGCAGACTGACCAAAACCTGCAGCTGCCAGACCGGCGATTTGATGGGCACATGCTAGGCTAATGCCAATAGCTATGACAGCCAGAACTGCTTTCTTTACTATGAGTGCAACACTGCCGATGATGAGCAGAGCTAAAGTGAAAGCTGCCAGACCAGGGATCAGAGAGGATCTCAGGTCTGTGGGCTGCAGCACTCCCTGCCCCACCAGGATGTACACCAGACCTGAACCACACCACAGGGCGGAGACAGTCAGACACACAGACGAAAACAGCTGGGCGTAGGACAGACTGCGGCAGATACCTAAGAGACAGAGAGTAAACAGAGGAGAGAGACCAGGGAGAGGATTACAATTTTTAAACTAGAACAAAACAACTAACAGCACAAATCAACAAATGAAATAAAACTTGTGATATTCAGTCATCAAAACCAACCTGCATAAGCTAAGAGGGCTGCAATGATGAGGAGCAGAATCCCCAGTGCAGTGTAGGGGATGAGCTCTCTTTCAGGAGAGCTGCCATAGTCGTTCACCAAAAGCAGGAGAGAACCTACAAGTTATAACAAAAGCCATTATGTAGAACCTCCCACTGGTAACTAAAAATCTAAAACTCAACTTAGGTGCAGTGTTAAAACAGTTTTTTTTGTTTTTATTTTTTTTCAAACCATTTTAATTAAAATAGAGATGTGATTTTACACTCTCAGTAGCTAAAAGTATGAGTAAGTGTGAAATGTCCCTGTTTTTAATTTCTTTACACTGCTACATTTTATGAAGGTACTTAATAATAAACACAATTAATTAATTTTTTTTATGCTTTAGCATCAACAGCTTGAAACTCAAACAACATGCTTTTTAAAAGTTGATACTAAATTAACTTGTCACTCAAGCTTTACCTGACACATAATTATCAATAAGAGGAGAGTTGGTTCCCGGCTGCTTTCAGTAATTTTTAAAAAAAAAAAACGTTTTAGGGTTCAAACATTATGCAACATGCTTTTTGAATTTTGATACCAAAATACAAAAAAGTAGGATATTTAGCATAGTCATATGCAATTATTGTTAATAAGTAATGACAACATCACAGCAGAAAGTGGGCTTATGATTGTTTAATTCAAATGTTTAAAAAATCGTAACTGAACAAGGGAAATAAAATCTTACCGCCAGAGATGCCCAGGATGCCCACGGACACATGCAGTGAGCCGAGTTGAGCCATAGCAGGAGTGTGTCTCTGGAAACGTGTGGCTGCGCTTTATACGTATGCGTGTGACGTCATAACGCAGCAGGAGAAACCTGAGAGGAGAAGCTGCACCTCACGAGGAAACAACACGGATCCGTCACTGTACAGGGAGAAAATAGGCTTTTCCCATGTTCCCGCATATACCAAGTGTCTGTTGCCCAACTGCGGTATTATGATACATCATAGGCAAGGATATAATGTTTGCCAATGGGTAAAAAAAACACCTGTGTTATTTACTTCATACATTAATATTACTTAAAGTCTAAATATCAACGTGCATTGTTCTTGTGTGAACACAAAAGTTAATAATTGAATTTAGAACTTATAACCAGTAAATAATAAGTAATATGGATCAGGTGATTTGTGTAACTTGTAACGTGTGATATTTCTGAATAAATCTTATTCATCTTATTCATAAATACACGTGTGATTTTCTTATATCACCTCAAATGCATTACTTGAACAAAATATTGAAAAAATTGAGCGCATAAAGGTGTTTGACCCTGAAAAATTACTTTTCGTTTTGTCTCAACCACAGAGCTTTGAATGTAAGTCTATAATAAATCATTAACCATGAGGTTTAAATGTGTTATCATCTCTATTGTTCATTTAAAATATTGAGAGGAATGATTCAGCATTTTTTTTCCAACACAGGCCTCACATATCCGACAGTGTTCCTGGTTTCCTGTAAGGTGCATGATGTCAGCTTTTTGGTGTGGGAGGAGAAAGGAGAGGCAGGCAGGACTATAAAAAGTCTGCTTCAGAGTTCAGCCGGCACACCTCTACTGAGCAGCTCGACTTAACACAACTTCCTGGCTACCTGCATATACAAGGTGAGAGCTACTATATCTACATTATCTTTACCTCTGCTATAATTCAACAGCTGCTTTCTATGTAATACTTTATTAACAAGCGGATTGATTTTAGACAATAATGTTATAAAAGCAGCACTATAATCCACGAAGGAAAGGGTGAAATGCTAAATGAGTGTCTGATACATAATCATCTTCAAGCGCCGTGTGTATTTATTCCAGCAGACTCAAACCTCTTCGTGTAACTTCTCTTTATTGGTGTCAACTGTGTCACCTGGCAGCAGCAGCAGCAGCAGCAGCACACCTGAGACTCCTTTCTCACCTGGCTCTGTAAATTTTTTATGTAAACATGTGCAACAGGTGGCTGAGGCACAGTGCTTAGTTAATCAAATGCTCTTCATATCTGATAGTGAAACAAATATGGGATAACCACTTAATGGTGTCAAAGTAACAGAAGTTATGTAGTCTAGATAGACTACATAATCCTGAGAGTCTATATGTGCTTTATGTGTGTGTTTCACAGGAATCATGGTGAAGCGTGTTGCAGTTATTCTCTCAGGCTGTGGCGTCTATGATGGCACAGAGATCCACGAGGCCTCCGCTGTCCTCGTCCACCTGAGTCGTGCTGGAGCAAAAGTAAGAGCAAGAAAAGAAGAGAAGCAAACTTATTACAGTGTATTTATCTTTCAGTCATTTTATCTTAAACATCAGCATCCAGTCTCATTTTGAGGGCCGTGCAGTATTCACATCTACTTTTTGGCCCATTTATTTACTAACAACGGAGCAGGGTCGGCTTTAATAACAACTCTAAAAGGACTCAATAAAGAAGTCTTTTACATGTCAGTGTTTCATTTCAGGTGCAGATGTTTGCCCCGAATGCAGATCAGATGCACGTTGTAAATCACTGTGAGGGGAAGCCTACAGAGGAGAAAAGAAACATCCTGCAGGAAAGTGCCCGTATCGCCAGGGGTGACGTGACTGATCTGGCCAAGTTAGATGTTACAGCATTTGATGCGGCCATCATCCCAGGTGAGACTATCATCACCGTAAATAAACACCATAAAGTAAAATATTTTACCATTCTCTCATCTTCACTTTTGTAATACGCACTGTGTGTTTTTATTCAGGTGGCTTCGGTGTGGCTAAGAACCTGAGTGACTGGGCAGTGAAGAATAAGGACTGCACCATCCAGCCACAGCTGGAGAAGATCATCAAGGCCTTCCACAAAGCGGGAAAGCCGCTGGGCATGTGCTGCATCTCCCCCATCCTCGCTGCCAAAATCCTGCCTGGCTGCGAGATCACTGTGGGACAGGACAAAGAGTGTGAAAAGTGAGTGAAATAGTTTGTCACCATCAGATGTCTATGGATATATACATAAAAAAATGTATTCTACAGTTGTGTCTCTCTGTTGTCCTCTTCAGGTGGCCGTATGCTAAGACAGCAGGTGCTCTAAAGGAGATGGGATGCAAACATGTGAACAAGGATGTGGGAGAAGCTCATGTTGATGTCAAAAACAAGCTGGTCACCACCTGTGCCTTCATGTGCAATGCTCCAGTTCATCAGGTTTTTGATGGAGTAGGTGTCTTAGTTAAAGAGACACTGAAACTGGCTTAAGAAGTCTCCTCTTGATGTTTGGTTTTATTTACTGAAAAAGCAGCTGTTTGGGATTTTATATACAGGCACTGTATCTAATATTAAGCTGGTGGGCTTATCTCCGAGCATTTGTCTGCTATACAATCAATGTGTTGTTTTGAGATTTTGAATAAATTTTACTCTACAAATTACATTTCTTCAATTATTTTTTCTTTAGTAAAATAAAACAATGGAAACCACAGGACATGTACAACATAAATACTGTCGGATAACTTTCTCATATACATATATATATATAGTGTATTAAGTTTGGACAGAACATGACAGAGAGCTCCTCAGAAGGTGAAGATTTTAGTTAAGCAGAACCGACATCGAGATGTATGTAAAGGGGTAAGAAACATCTGTAGCCACCAAATCCTCACATGGTTTAACGTAAAGTGGTTTAAACATCTAACTTCGGAACATCCTTGGTCTTCATTTTGCTTCAGGGAAATATATCATAATTTCCAAATTATTCCAAGTTTTGTCAGCAATTTTTCCCCATAGAAATGAATGGACTGAATGTTCAGAGGCTAGAGTGGATGACATCTCACACAGAGCAGGAGAAGGTGTTAAACTGTTCAGAAAAGCTTAACTCATCCTCACGGCCACAAATTTCACTCTTCACGCATCATTTTTTGCCAGATGGTAAGCAAATTTGTCTAATTTGACAAAATGTGACTATCAAAGCACAGTGACAGAGAATTAGACCTATGAGTTTCAAAGTGTCAGGAGTAACACTCAACTGCTTCATTGGCTCCAATGTTAAATGACACCAGAAATCAGGAGATTAACAAAGAGATTGGTTTGTTTTAAATTGCTGCACCTCCTCCATTTTAGACACAATAAGCAAATACTTTATACCACTGCATTCAGCTGAGTCTGCTCTCTCAGAAAGTATAAAGCTTTAGGTGATAGCAGTTAACATTAGCTTTGTTGGCTTTGATTTGCAAGCCAGAGTTTGAGAGGTGTGTCCCACCACAAACCTTGTTTTAACCAGGTGTAACTAAGGAGTAGCCATCACTATGGAAACAATTAACTGCAGCTGTGCACACACAACGGATTCAGATCAGTTGATTAGATTTGCACACACACATAAGCCCACAGAGAAACAAAGATAAACAGACACATAGATATACAGGGAGACACACAAAGACACAAACTCACACAAACATACAAGCTACCTGGTACTGCCATAACAACAGCCCAGAGCACCAGTCATCCATTAATCATTTCAGTTTAACTCCAGCTGTTCCTGAAACAGTTTCAACCTCTTCCTAGACATTAATTCAGCTTTTTCACAATCTTCATACATTTTCTTTAACCAGTTACATGCACATTTAAGACCACTCAATGCAGTTTGAATTACACTGTAAACCCCAATCCATCTGCTTTTCAATTTTTTTTACAGTCACAGAACGCCCACACAAGTATGTGTAAATGAAAATGCTAATTGGATTATTGCATTGTTATTTTCATTTTTACTCAAATAAAGCACACTGTTGGACGTTGAGTCACATGGCTGCTGTGCTGAACAGCAGCAGAAGCACATTCTCACAGGTTTGCTAACTGGACAGCGGACACAGGTGCCCTGAGTGTTCTTTGTTCTGTGTCCTGAGCTCATTCTCTGTTTGCCCTTCAGCTAAGCTCGTTCCCTCTATCATTTCACCTTTGTTCCTGAGCACATTGAGTGAGAAATTTATTTCATTATATTTCCACACGTCGTGTTTATTTTGTTGTTAAGTAGTACATCTAATCTCGCTTTATTCTGACATGATTATGTATTTAAAGTGAGAATGCACTGATGTACTGATTTTGATTTGGAATTGTTTGTTGATTTATTCAAGATAATATGATAGAGTGTGACTTGTAAGCACGCTTTCTATCATTTGTAGAAGTATAACCACTCAACTGTAACCACTCATACCTGAGTGACAGCAAGCAAAAGATTAAATACTTTCAAATGGAACCTGCTGTCTGCTTCTCCTGCTTTGCTCATATTCATTAAAGTCCGATGTAACCCTAGAACACATACTTGTGTGATAAATTACAATGTTATAATGGAATTACAGTTTCATTTTCAAGTTTACATGACCATTTTAACAAAGTCCCCTATAGGCTTCAATAATGAAAATGAAATAATTATAGTCTGTTATTTTTCTGCACCAGATATATTATAATCATAGATTGTAAATTTAAAGGAGAACCAAATCCTTTTGAAGAATTCACATTTCTTATTCCTGTACCCCAGAACAGTTTGGTCAGTATTTGCAAACATGCAGCAATCTCTCCTAAAGTTAGAGAATCTTTTAAGAACCTTAAGGTGTCACCCCAGTTTGCTCTATAGCGAGTGGATGGGGCTCTAACGCTGTGAGGCCATGAGGCTCGAGCTGTTGTAACTTCAGTGTCCCACATTGTGTGGGAACTGAGCGCTGAGTCTTACACAGTTTTCTGCTTTGTATCTGTACACAGATTCACAAAGGCACTTCCTCTTTCACAGTGTCTTTGTGTTGCCTTACCACTGGAATTATTTTTGTATACACAGTCTCGTTTTTGTTTTTACAGATACAAATCTCTTCTATGCATGCACTTTTTTTAAACTTGAATTTCTCACAAAGAATTATTTCACATATTTACGAGGCTCTTCATTTACATAGTTTGGAAGTATCTGAACATCACTTTCCAAGCTCAAAATAGTTTTGACCCTAATTTGAGCCAATACTCTCGGTGGTAGACAGGACAACATGTTGAATTCTAGCGGTTTGAGCTTTAAGGTTAAACATGGTCTGTTTGGTGTTTGGTGTGACCAGATGTTTATTAGGTGAATTACTCATGCAGATTTATTTTACTTATTTATTTTTATTTCAGCTGTACTCACAACTTCCATGCTACTGCACTGTACTATACTAAAGGTTTTGTGTGCATAAATTGAGTGAACCAACAGGGATTCATAGTGTAGGCTATAAATGAAGCAATGCAGCTTAGTCTCTCTATGAGTACTTCACCTCATGACTCACATTTAAACTTCTTTCACTGCTTACACTACAGTTTGCATTCTGCATCACTGTTCCTTTTTTTCCAATCTCTTCATACTACTTCAACAAATTCAAGCCAGCAACGCAGTTTAGCTTCAGCTTGTGCAGAAGCAGCAATCACACTGGGATTTCTTCAGAAATTGCATTTTCTAGGTACACATATAGAGTTGTTGGTCCTGGAACTTCTACTCCCTATTTTGCACAGGAAATGGAAAAAGTGTGTGTACAGTTGTAGGGGGAAACATAAATCTGGAAACCTTTCATGATGTAAAACAAGATTTTCTCCTTGCGGATCAATAGATTATTACAGCCCAGAACTTTGAAGTTGTTGAACTTTTTTTTTGAATATCATACAGTACATTGTTTTCCGTTTTGACAGGTTTTTGTGCATTAAATATGCAAAAGAATAAAGAGATAAAAGAAGCGCAACAGGGTTTCAGGTAAGAAATAAGATATTTATAGAGCTCAGTTTCAGTTTACATCACTCTGGTGAACCATGGAATAATTAACTTTGATTTAATCTGTGGATATTTTACAGATTTCTGTGCTTGTGCCTCACTGTACCAAAGTGTTTACTAGTGGATTCTGAGGATTTTGTATTCATTTTACCAAATCCTAATTACAAAAATATACCCGCCACACTGTCTTCTGGATCATATTTCAATACTTATGCAGTTTGTTAAAGCAGCACAACTGAAATTCACTGACTGACCAGGTTATTCTCACATTTATTTTGAAGGTTTATGAAACAGTCAAGTTATATATGTGTGTGGCACAATACAATGTCCACTTTTTATGAACAATAAAACAGCATTTTATCAATTCATTCTTTTTCACAGTTGAGACATTTCAATACTATACAACAAGCTATACGATAGAGATTTGCAGTTATTTTTTGATATATTATATCATTCATAAACATAGAACAGACATTTGTTATAAGTATGAAATATCACTGTAAAGTGAAAAAGTAACTGTAACTTTCAAGTAGGAAGAACCCAGGAAGTATTCATGTGCTTTTGCCTGAGAAATGATTGTACTGATCGGTTCCACAGGCCAAAATTGTGGCATGAAATTTCCTGGGACGATCAGGATCCTATCAGGAACAGAAAGAGTCGGGATCAAAACACAGTGTGAGTGAAATTATAACCTGCATGGAACATAGAAACTATTCTATACTCATGTTTGTCTCACCTGTATGGGGTAAGCACAGGTGGGAACATATCGGATCACAAATCCACAGCGCCTCCTCTGGGATGTGTTGGCATCACTGGCATGGACAAGGAGTCCATCATGGATCTTATAAAATAAATAAATAATTAATTCATAATTAATTTCTAATTAGTTCACTTTGAATTGTACTCAAACCTATTCATAACCATGTCATCAAAAACAAAAAATAAAATGAACTCACAGACATCTGCCCAGCCAAGAGAGGGCAAAACACAGCTTCATCAGCCTGCACCAGCTCCTCTGGGATTTCCTGGTTGACTGACAGCATGTTTCCAGGGCGGATGGCTTGACGATGAGGCAACATCCCAGAGCAGTGGCTGCCTTCAGGCACACAAAGAACAAAAGGCTCAACTCTGTGAAACAGGTTGTTGATTTCATGAAGTAAATCTAGTGTTGTTATTCCACACATGATGGAAAATAAGGTAACACTTTTCTTTAACGTTTCACCAGGACAGTTGCTAAAGGGATAAATGTGCAAGAGAAGCATAAATGAGCAGCTGAGGTACCTGGGATGACCCGAAGGGCTCCGTTCTCTTTCAGTGAGTCATCGAAAGCGAGCCACACAGAGAGAACAGGGCCGCCAGCAATACCCCAGTACCTGTGAACGCAACAATTACAGTTAGAAAACAGAATGATGCAAAACAAAACCTTCCAGTGTTTTTTTCAGTATCTAAAATCTACCTCATATCCTGATGCCAGGCCACGTATGGAAGTTCATTCTCTCCAATACTCCCACCGGGGTTGGTTTCACCTTCTTCGTTCTCCTGGATGTTGGCTGGTTTGAGTGCTGGGTATTTGCAGATGAAGCGGGAGTCCAGCAGGATGACGTCGGGGCCCAGGATGGCTCTGACCACTCGCATGATTTGAGGGTGTTTGGCCAAACCCATCACCCACGGATGCTGAAGGTGAACATTGTGGAGGCTGTACTGGGTGTACTCTTCACCTGGAGAGACAAATATATGACACCCCAATTCACTGACAAATAGAGCGACACTTCATTATATCTTTCTTATGCTGTTTAATTTAGTTTCATGTAGAACAAGATGGCAGTGTAGAGATAAATTACACAACTATAATACATTTCGGTCACATCAGTTGTTCCTATGGCTAATTTCTGCACTCCTGCTTTCGGTGATTAACTCCCAGACCAGTGTATCTTTCTGAGGTACTTACCAAATTCCTTCTCCAACTCAGAAAATGCATGTCTGGCTTCTCTCAGCTCCGTCTCGTTCAATACAGGCAGGGCTGAGAGAAAACCCTGCTGGTTGTAGATCTCCTGCTGTTTAGCCGTGGATGTAGTCATCTCTATTAGACTGTTTCACTGCTGATGCCTCAGACTTTCTCCAAAATTTATAAGGTAGAGACTGTGGCGGGGGGAACAGAGAGGGAAAGTGAAGTTTAAGTAAGAAAGAGAAAATGATATCTATCCTGTTTTCCATCTGGTTTTCAAGACAATTTGAACTTTAGCTGTTTATGGAGACATAAAAAGAAAGCATGTCCTGCCCGCCTGGCCTGATGAGAAAAACATCTAACCACGTATAGGTGGGTCACAGTGAACACCACCTTATTCCTCCTGTCCTTTAACACAAATATAACCCTGTGACGACACCTGAACCCATGAACCAAGTAAATTTGTTAAGCTAAAATTATCTGTTGGCCTAAAACAGGCCCAGAAAAGAACATTGCACTTGTTACAGTAGACAAGGTGAACTCTTTCAGGACCATCTTTTGTATTTTTTCATGTTAAATCTTACCAGTAAGTAATAACTACAACAATTTCAATAAGCATCTTATTGTCTCCATACCTGTCTGCTGTTCAGTCCTCTCTAGCTCTTTCTGAGACTCTGGACTCTGGATTATATACTGCCCAGAGCATCATCAGGAAATTTCACTTCCTTTTTCAGCTCATAAAATCCTCCTCAAGTCTTATATGTCACATGTGATCTCACATTTCAAGAAAAACTAAACAGGAAAAACGGGAAAACTAATTTCATGACGTATACTTTGAATGCATCACCACACATTGACTGCACAAAAATAAAAAGGTATTTATTACCTAAAGTAATATGAAACCTTTTCCTTTTAGGGGCTCCGCACTGGGATGCTGTAATCTCCATACACATGATGTCACGCTTTACCACCTGGGAAGAGACAGATTTATAGACAAGAGGCTATTTCTGGTGCTGCCCTTTATTTTGAAATTGGTCCAGACTGATATGACTGATACTTTTTTTGTTCACACAGAAACTCATTATTCTGTCAGATGAACTTTCCCAATCATTACAGCCTCATATTCAACTTCAGTGAAGGAACGATGACTGATCACAGGACAAAGACATACAGTATTTCATATTCTGTGTGATGAGTGTGTGAACATGGCTGAGTCTCTGAGAGAAGAGAAAATCCTATTGGTCTCCTTTCACAATAATGGACAATCTTGGCTTCTTTTAACAGTTTTTCCCTCCTTACAGTTGTCTTTTTTTGTTTTATCTTCCTTACTGTATGTGTGTATAAGAATATTAGTATAGAAATATGTATGTGCCATTTTACATGAATGGTGTGAAAAGAAAAGAAAAATTAGGGCTCCCTCTTACTGGTTCACTTGGTGTGTTTATTTTACACGTCATTAACAAACTGTTAGTTTAAAGAAAAAAGAAAAAAGTGATATTTGAGGATGCAGATACTGTTGTGTGGTCATGAAACAGACTTCCTTCACAAGGAGAAACATGTGTCCTGGAGCCCTTGCGGTTATTAGGACACTCAGCTGCTGACACATGCTGTCCTTTTCATTCTATACTGCATCAACATGTGTATAAATTAGATTAATCAATAATCCGATCACTAAATTAACAAAAATGAAAACAATATAATAGATTAATACTACTACAGTGGTGTATGAAATGGACTGTGTGTCATGTGCTTTAATACAAAAGACAAGCAAAGGATTTTTTTTATAGTCTCTGACAGGAACTTTCCAAGGATGCTGAGAAATGTACCGAGGGAAACCCCAGATCACTCAGTGGCCCCTTTTGTTGTGTGATGATATGTGTCAGGAGTTTCAGTGGACCAATGACCGGGAAAGAAAAGCAGAAAACCTTTCAGCTTCCTTCAGTAACAGAGCAAACATTAACTCTGCAGCACACTCCATGAGCAAACCACTGCTCCTCAACAGCTGTTCCCGGGGCTTCCCGGTGTCACATGTGTCAACACATTTATTATGTGTTCTAATGAGACTGAGAGGAAAACATTTCACAGAAGTCAAAGTAAAGAAACAAATACCATAAATAAGTCGATAAATGTGGGTATCTTCCTCCTGTTGAAGCAGTTAACAAACCACGAGCATAGTTAGATCAGTTCTTACAATTTATTTTATTATTCGGACTATTTATAGCTTTTAAAATATAAGAAATTACAATAAACATCAGGGTAAATATAGAAACTTAACTTTAAAGAAATGTATATATTAGAAAGAATTATTTTAGATTACATTAAATATATATAAGTACCAAAGTTAATAACTGTGTGAGATATATATTGAACAGAACCCCCTGTTAACTATAGCCTACAATTCAACTTTAAGTTTGTATTATTTTCATGAAGCTTACCAAGGATAAACCTTGAAAAACCAGTGAAGCACTTGAGTCCAGATTTGTTCATGTTGGGCTGCTTCCATAAACTTTTACTACATGTTATTTACTGTCAGCATTAATCAGATAATGCTGCTTTTAGAGAGAGAGAGAGAGAGAGAGAGAGAGAGAGAGGGGGGGGGGGGAAGGATGAAGATGAGAGACATTGAGCATGGTGTGTCCCAATTAGGATGGCTGGAAAATCATTGCTGACTTGCCAAGACGGTATTGGACATGTACATGTTAACAGTTTTTGTGCTCATTTACTGGCCACTAGAATTAGACTCCATTTCAATTCATTTCAGGCTTCTGCCTTCATCCTACACCGGAGACCGTGTTGGTTCATTGTGGATGATTCCCTCATTAGTGGCCATAAACAACCTTCGTTAAAGCCCTTTCCTGCCTTCTTGAATCCATAGGGATGACATATTGATTTGGAGTGTAGATTTAGACAAATATTTTGACTCTGGGTCAACTTTTCCTTTTATGTAATAACCCTTTTTTGATGATGCTGATGTATGATGTCTACATGTAGGTTTCACAAGACAGCAATATGTTTCATTGAGAACATATCCTCGTTGGATGATATCTTTTCTGAAAATGCCCTTCGTTTTGATCTTGAAAACACATTTTGAACATTATCCAGGCACTTTGAGTAGTTTTCTTAAGGAAATAGTTTCAACATTTTGTGAGAAATACTAATTATCTTTCCTTTTAAGAGTGGAGGAGAATATTGACACCGACTCTTATGTTGTAGGCTACGTAGAAAAATAAAAGTACAAGCCAGCAGCTGGTAGATTTGCATAAAGACTGGAAACCACGGGGAAACAGCTAGCCTGGTAGCCCCCTTAACAAGAGTCAAAGTGTAAAACAAGTTGTTTCTTACAAGGGGGTCATCCCTGCAACATTGCCACGCAGACAGTGGAAACTCCAGAAAATCACTGGTCCCAGGCGAGAATAGTCCCAACACCTTCTGTAAATCTGCAACTAATTGGGGGTTTTTCGTTCTTGTTGTTACCTTTGGACAGAGCCACTTTAGCTGTTTTCCCCTCATTTCCTGTCTTTATACTAAGCTATACCCACTGCTTGCTATAGCCATGAACACATGACATGACATATAATTTTTAAGCCAAGAAGACGTCATTTTTTAATTTCCTATTCCATGATGCCTCAGGGGACTATATGTTGTGAAAAACTGCTAAATACTTAAAGTCATTTTTAGCCCTAAATAGACCTACATCCTCCTATTTGTACTGCCATCGACCTGTGAATATAACTCTCTGAAATTGTGTAACACCAGTATTCACATAGCAGGACACTACGTAAGTGGATGAAAGCATGTGTTTTGTGGGGGAGTTTAGCCTTAAGGGGGATCAGAGGTGATCGATTCTTTGTAGCACTTGCTCTCTTGAGTTACAGTAGTCCTACAGTATGTTTGTGTGAAAGAAGCCCTGGGGGCAACATGCCGAGTTGTGTGTTCTTCCTGAGCTGATTCCCCCTGGGCCCTCCGCTTTCTCTCTGTCAGCTATTATCCTTTTGGACAAGACCTCACAACAGGGCTGGTGGAAAGGAAGCTGGTTTGACTAATTAATATTTGCAAATATTTCCTTTTCTCCAAGAGGTTTAATAGAAATCAACATTTTCTAGGGATCATCGCACATTGTTTTCCAGAGGCTATCGATATGCAAATACATAGCAGATAGTAAACAGAGATTTTGATTGGCCAGAAGTAGCAGATGCAGAAAAATCCACCACTCTGTGTGTGTATCTGAGTGTCTTGAGTGCATAATGGTGACTGTGCATGCATGTGTGTGTGCGTAGCGTGGGCGTTGCATAATAACTCCAATTCGATTCTCCTGTAAGTGCACTCTATGCGAGTGGGTGTTCAAATGCCCTGAAGTTCTTGTGTGCGTACAAGTGTTTGCTTATTATTGAAAACCACTGCTAAATCTTCATCATCTGACTTTATTTAATGGCACATATCCTCTGTGTATGTGTCCATGTATAAACCTGTATGCGTGTGTCGGTGTGCGTGCAGGACAGAAGATGTCGAGTCCCGTGGGTGACAGGTTGCTGTCCACAGAAGAGCAAGTCACTCTGATCACAGAGAGTATGACAGTCACCTCACTGACCAGGAGAAACTGCTGCTGCTGAACAAGAACACTGAGCTCCGCAGAGTCAACAAGGAGGTACATCACCACCTTACTGCTGATGTTGCAATTACTTTTAGTTTTCTCTGAATACCAGAGGAGGACTGGGTGTTGTGTGAAAACTGCTGCTAAGCTGTGAAAGTCATCATTAAAGTAAAATTTTCACGATTATACAACTTGGCTTCCAGATTTTATTAGTTGCTGCTTAATGAAAATGGAGGCAACTGAAATGATTCTCTGGATTGACATAAACTTGTCATGTCAGTCTGTCCTCACAACAACGTGAGTGTAGAGCGTCTCACTTCAATCGACCTGAATTGACTTCCTGATGCACACGCTGTTGGGAGGACAGACTGACAATGATGGCAATAATGATGAAATGAATCATGCTATCAGTGGCTGCAGCGGGGGCAATGGCAGTGATGATGATGATGATGATGGTGGTGGTGGTGGTGTTACAGCTGATGAAGCTGAATGAGGACTGGGACCAGGTGTACCGGAGTGCCACACTGGGTCTACAGCACAGGCTGGAGGCTTTGGAGCTGGAGAATTCTGCCATCAAACAGCTCAACAGTAGACTGCTGCTCAAAGTAGAGCACCAACAGGTAAATACACTCAAGTACTTCAAGCATGCTACAAAGCCCCTGCTTCGGTGCACTGGTATAGACCCTCAAAAGTGGGTGTAGATACAGTACATGGGGGGATTCCTAAAACTGTGGGTTAATAATCACAGGTTTAACATTTGTGGTTTCATGTGGGCTGTTTTACTATTTCACTTTGGTTTGCAGAGTGCTAAAGAGTACTATGAGCAGGCTCTGATGCAGGAGCTGTGAAGAACCAGGAGCTGCAAGAATACATCAGGCTGCTGGGACAGCAGGATGCAACACCCAGAGAGAGCCTGCACAACTGTCAGACAGGTACCTGTCTGTGGATTTGCGCATCTGATCAGATTGTGCATTTTCATTTCTGTCAATATTCTCTCATCATCACTTTGTTCTTCTGTTTTCACTAAAGGGCAGCTTCAGTGCTGTGGTAAGCGATCCTGTGTCATTGCCCCACCAGCCAATCCACCATCCAGAGATCCGACTCTCACCCAGCCACTTATCTGGTTACAACCCTTCCTCCTTTTTCCAAAGCTTCTTCAAGCCCAGAGGCTGGATGCAGGGAAAACCAAAGCAGCAATACCCCACTGGGAGCACTGGGAGACTCCCACCAAGAAGTGCAGGATCTAAAAGAGCAGCTGGAGGCCTAAGATGTCAGGTGGGCTGCTCTCTTCAGCACAGCATCATTGTGATGAGAGCAGAACTGATGTCAACTCACTGTTGCCAGGGGAAGATTTGCTTAATGTTTAGGAGGAGCAATCAGATGGTGAACTGCACCACCAAGTGGTGGCTCTGTACCTCTCTGAAATTTGCTCACAGCATAACAATAGATATCTGCAGGTCACAAGATATGGCTTTGATACTGGCTCACTGCCATATTGATGTTTTTGTATCAGCAGACCCAGATTTATGAAGCAGAATATCAGACGGAGCATAACGACCACAAACACACAATGCAGGAGAACCGCAGGCTGAGGAAGAAGAGGGAGGAGATGCGTCAACAAGTGGACTACTTGCAAGAGCAGGTACTGAGTTCTAATTATTGTTTGTGCACATGCACACAAACACACACACGAATGCATATGACATACACCAACACATTCACACATAAAAAATAAATGATCACATGTTATGCAATTTGATCTTGACCCAAAAACAAACCAAAAACTGATGTGCTTCGGCAAATGAAAATTCATGCAGTGCTGCAATTATTTTGTTAATTGTGTCAATCAAACGAGAGACTTCAGTGCCAGTGGTGTAAGTGGTTTAAATGTGGGATGTGTAAGCTAAATATAGTTAAATATTTACTGTGTGGTGGTAGTGCAATGGCAGTTTAAGCATAGTGTAGTAGTCATATGATCTAAAATGAAGCTTAATTTAAAAAAAAAAAAAGCCTTTGATGAGATATTTTCAACAACTCCACATCGACTCAATGTTTTTCTTTTACTGACTCTGTCTGGTGTTCTGACATTGCTACAGCTCAAGGTTTATGAGGATGACTTCCGACGGGAGCGGTCTGACAAACAGATGCTGCAGCGGCTGTTGTTAAAGAAAACGCCGCACAAACAAGGACCCTGTGCTTATCCACCGCTGCAAATAATGAACAGCAGCCACTAGGAGGAGACAAGAGGAACACAAAGTGGAGAAGAAAAGAAAACAGCACCACCCACTCTGCCCCAAGCACCTGAACAGGACAAAGAATAGAGTGAGGTCCAGAGAGGAGAGAAAACCATGAACCAGTAGTACACACATGAAGATTAAGAGCATGAGTCTAAACCTGGGAAAGTGAAAATCATAAATGTGTCAATGATTTGTACTCACTCTCATTTGGAAAACCTGCACAGTGATATTATAGAGATGCTGCACTATCTCACACCACAAGGAAATTGGATGACTCTACATGTAATCTTAGCAGTGGATTTCATCCCCCCCCCCCCCCCGCTCTCTTCGTCTTCTCCTC